GGGGGGGGGGGGGGGGGGGGGGAAGTAAGGGTGACCCAATGTGTATTGGGTCAAAATAAAAGAGAAATAGGACAAATTATTCAATGTTTTTTGGGGGAAGGTGGGGGCGACTTTGGGGAGACAGTGGTGGGCGTTGTGTCGCATTCCTCACGCACGTAACTATTCATTATAAGAAGTTATAAATATATTGTAACGTGACATGTAAGCTTTACTTGCTATGTGAGATAGTGCGCATACACTTTTATATTTTGTATGAATGTGACTAATGAAATTAGCATGTTTTTAGAGTATGCTACGGCTGTATTAACTCAGGATGTAACACTATAAATAAGTATTAAGTTATTCTTTTTTTTTATCGATAGTTAGAAAAATGTTAATTCTATTCTTGTCGTGAAGTGACGTATTTTTTGGTAGTAGAAACGTTTAAATTTTGGAGATGAGGGCTCAAGGGTGCCTTGTTAAAATGATATGAGGGACTGAGGTCGTACTTAGAAGACCTATAGAGATTTCAACAAAAATTTAATGGCTTATCGTCTGTAATACTCAAATAACTGTGTGATATAATATGATATCATATGCTATATGGACTTACTGTGGTAAAAGAGTGAGTGGATACGATGAATACTACTTTGTACGTATTTAAATACACACGTAAGTATATTTTATAGGAACATTTATCATAAAATATACTGGCCTTACAAAGCTGCAACTGATTAGAACATAGGCACTTACAATTTTGTAATGTTAATATTAAAGTGTAAGTCATTTTAGGCTCACACACGATGCTGAAAATAAAGAGTTTTATGCGACTGTTTTTCGACAAACTTAAATCTGATGATTTTTGTATCATTTTTTTTGTATTCCATCGCGTTTCTTCGTAAAAATTAAAAAGAAGAACTTTGAAATTTCTTTAAACTTGTAATTTTCGATTTTTCTAAATATAGAAAAATTTTATTTGTCATCATAAAAAAACACAGATAGACCAAGAGTGCTGTAAATAGTACCTCCAACATATTTGCCCGTAGGTTTGATGATTCATATGTATTACAAATATTACTTGTTATTCCGAAATATCTTATAAACAAAAGTGTTTCGAGAAATATATGCAACTTCTTTGCAAAAATTAAGTATAGTATTAAAATAAAGCTTACAGCATTTTATAAAAAAAGCAAGACTAAAAAAAACTAAAACAATTTGCTGTTGCCTTCGGCTTACGAGGCAATTTCCACGTAAATTACGCTAAAATACTTTTCTAGTTAGCAAAAAATTCTAGTATTATCTAAGACGTTACATCGTGCTCTTTACCCTTACATTATAAAAAAAACGTCATATTTAAAAATAGGAAGATAAAGAATTTCATACGTCACGCGAAACGACAGCACGGTTTCGACTCTCTGATGCTTGCCTGGCAATTGTACACTTGAGAGGGAATTCCATACTTTCGTCCATTATGGCGTAATAAACTTTTGTATCATAAAAATGTTTTATCATTATATTGTTGTTTTCTATAAAAAAAACCCACTAGTTACACAAATAGCTACCATGAGCATAGTATACAATAGGTCAAACTGAATTTTTTTTTTCTATCAACCCCAAAAATATTCATCACATAAAAACCATGTTATTGTGGAGCCATGGACGGATCAAATAGCAACAAAAAAAAATCAAAAATTTAAGTAACTGAATAAAGAGACCAAAATAATTACGCACTGAGTCTACTGAGTCCGTGATGTGCGAAGCAAACGTGCCGAGTATAAAATTTACTTTTGTTGATCCTTGTTAGACTTGTTAATATTATTAATAACTATACTATTAGGTGGCATTTGGACATGTCAGGAAACCTTAACACGCTGGTTGATATAAAGAGAAAACAGAATAAGTACGGGATGAGCTCCTTACCATGCACACTTCACTGTAGATAACGATGCTGTCAATCCAACTAATAATTGTTGTATTGATTTAGCAAGCATAGGAAGTTTTTAAGGACAGGCGAGAGTCAACGACGTATCCAGTATATCCAGTTATACAGTAACAGCAAACTCGATAGCAAGGTTTATGAATGCTGGTGCTTTGCGCATCGGCAGACCGATCATCTGTAGTCGCTGATTCTGCTGCTGCTATAGGTAACGCTACTATACTTGGGCTCATACGTACGCTGTTCCGACTGGGATACCTGCTATCCCAGTAGTCAGAGACAGCAGACTAATCGTGATTTGGTATAGCTGCTGTAGGGGGAGGAACAACTGCAGCACCAAATCTTTCTCAGTGTAGTAACAACAACTGGAATATCTTGTCCCACGCGTTTAGAAATACTCTAACTGGGACTCCATAGCAATGCTGATGAGGTCTTTTGGCCTGTTCGTTTAACAACGTCACAAAAAAACAGTTGTGCTTCATTGTTTAAAAGAAAAGTGTATTTATTAGGTACAGGTGAAGCATTATTAGCTGTTTGGTAGTTATAGCAATCAAATGTTTTCAAATTACGTTTAGCAATAGAATAACAGATTAAAGTTGTTTATAGATTCATTTTTTTTCTTTCACAACCTCTAGGGCCATCTGTAAAATAAACATGGTTACATTTTTTGCAAATAGTGTA